ACACCAGCCTGTGTGATCATGAGTTGTCAATGGGATCACGTATCAGGCATCAAAGACCCAGAACAAAAAATTCTATCGATGTAAATGAGGGGGCGTGCAGATTGGAGACCCAAAGCCTATCTGTAGACAATTGGACATTCCCTTACAGAAGAGTCACAAGGAAGAGATGAGCTAGTCAGGGTGCAGTATAGCACCAATGAAACATACAACTTTTTTCTAGTTCTTTAATGCTTCCTCCCTCTCCACTATCATGACTCCAATTCGACCTTATAAATACAGCTAGACCATACCATATACACTGGGACAGATCAGAGCTGGAAACACAGGGAATCCAGGACAGAGAAACCCCTCAGCACCAATATTGAGAGTAGTGATACCAGGAGGGTTCGGGGAGGTGGGGGGAGAATGGGGAAACTGATCACAATGATCTACAAATAATCCCCTCCCAGGGGGGCAGACAGCAAAAAGGTGGGTGAAGGTAGACATCAGTCAGTGTAAGACATGCAAAAATAATTATAAATTATCCAGGGTTCATGATGGAAGGAGTGGAGGGTGGGGGGTGGAGGGGGAAAAATGAGCTTATACCAAGGGCTCAAGTAGAAAGAAAATATTTTGAAAATGATGATGGAAACATATATACAAATGTGCTTGACCCAATGGATGGATGGATGGATTGTGATCAGAGCTGTAGGAGCCCCCCAATAAAATGATAAAATAAATAAATAAAATCACAAAGAAAGAAAGAAGCTCCTGGAACCATCTAGGTAACAGGTGATAGGGGCCTAAATGAAGGCCTTGATCATGGAGCTAGGGAGAGGAATTGAGGGGCAGAGTCCGGAAACCAAAGGAGAGAGACTCAGAAAACTCAAAACCAAACTCAGTGCCACTGAGTCAATTCACAGTGGCGGCGGCAGATGCGTTCCAAAATTGTAACTCTTTATGGGAGGAGAGAGCCTCATCTTTCTCCTGTGGAGCAGCTAGTGGTTTCAAACAACTGACCTTGTGGTTAGCAGCCCAACATATAAACATTATGCCACCAGAATTCCCTGAAGAGTTACCATGGGAGGAAAAAAAAGATCTGGTCTGACTATAAATTCTCATGTAGGCAGCGGACAGAGAACATTCTTGAAGCCACTACTCCATACCTCTCTTTGTAGCCTCAGCTTCTCTCGTACTGAAGACAGCTTTAATGCCACCCTGGGACAGAGATGGTGGAGTCCCAGTTATGTGACAGTGCCATGTATCATCCTCTCCTGTGATGATTAGTTTTTCAATATCATTGATGATCTACTACTTCCGAATGCTTGTTTCTGTCAGCAAGCCAGAGGATTGGAGAGTTTTTATATCAAAGACTTGCCCAAACTGATGAATGTATTTGTTTATTTAGGTCCTTCTCCCTGATGTAGAGTTTTATGTTAATCTTGGAGATTGGCCTTTGGAGCATCGCAAAGTCAATGAAACGCCTGGCCCCATACCTATCATTTCATGGTGTGGCTCTCTGGACTCAAGAGATGTTATCCTTCCCACATATGACATCACCCACTCCACCCTTGAAGCAATGAGGGGCGTTACTAATGATCTTCTCTCCATTCAAGGAAACACAGGTAAATTAAGGTTAAAATTCTCTAAGAAAAAGCTTACACATTAAAAAAAAGGATGTGAAGAGAATGTTCAAAGAGAGTAAATGCGTGTATTTAAAGAACCATTTTATTGTGTCTAACAACAATCAAAATCCAGCACCCTAAACTTTGAAGTAGTTTGATCAGAATTTTCTAAGAGTCTCAAAAGTAAAGACACATGGGTTGAGCTATTAATGTCCAAACAGACCCTCCATGAGAAGTCAGTGGGTTACAAATTGCTTGCTAACCAAAAAGTCAGCAGTTTGAAACCACCAGCTGCTCCTCAGGAGGAAGATGAGGCTGTCTACCCCTCTAAAGAGTCACAGTCAGGGAAACCCACAGGACGGTCCTACCCTGTTTATGGGGTCACCGTGAATCGGAATTCACTTGATGGCAGTGAGTTTGGC